CAGCAATTGGGTTGTTTTGACCCAGCGGTTGGGTTACTACCCAGAAGGTTGGGTTAAACATTTAACCCAACCGCTGGCTCAAAACAACCCAATTGCTGGGTTTGTCCCTATTTTACCCAGCATTTTACCATTTTTTAGAGTGTAGCATCTTGTTAAGTGAAGGGGTTTTTTCAATAACAATCTCAATCAGTGAATTTACTTATTGGAGTAGACATCATTGATATTTATTGGTTACTTAATGCATATTTGTTGGTTTATAGAAAGTCTTATAATAGCTATCATTTGTGTATAACCTAAAACATGAGCATAAATATCATTCACACGTGTGTGTTACACAGAAATGTAGGCTGAGCAGATGGTTAGTAACAGACGCTAGCATACTGTAGCAATAGCATTAGCACTGAAAACAAGACTCTGATGTCACCGTACTGTTAACATAGCAACTAACAGAGGCAGATCTGATCTGTTGTTTTTTCATAACGATGTATGACCATCTGTAACTGCTGTTTGAATCTAAGATCACATGTATACTACTGTAGCTTCTTTATCCAAACAATAATGGCCACTAAACTAATATCAACAGATCAACTAAACAACAGAAAATTTATTGTTTTATCAGAGTTACAGTAAGTGAGGAAAGACAGACAGAGGATTTATTTGATTTGATTTGATGAAGTGTTTATCATGGTATAATCATAACAATCACAGAGAAGGTTCATTTCAATAAATCTTTCTTTCTCACAAAGTAATTTACACAGAGCCAAGGCACTTTCTTGTCAATCCAGCCCCATGAAAATGAATTAATGTTTGAAGGATTCTCGAATTTCTAGTTTATAGTAACTAAAATATTTTGTTTTCTTGAATTTGTGAGCTAATCTGGTCAATTTTCTGTTACAGATCTCATTGTTAAAATGGTCCAGCAGAACATGGGAGGAATCAAAGGGGACGATTACAAGAAGGTGTGTGTTTGTTTTGTGCCACACTGTATATTATATAATAAAATAAATATATGTATATTGCATTTAATAGCTTGTATGGAATCACATGTTCCAAACTCACTTTCTTTCTCTTTCTCTTTGGCATGCACACTAATGATGTCTCTTCAACTCTACGACAACGCAGCCAGAGAATGTTGTATTATTACTACAGGTACTGTTTAAAAGTGAACTTACTCTTCATGCCCATTACTTGCACTGCCACTCTTTACATTTTAACTACAAAATGTTTATTGTTTTCACTCCAATTTTTATTTTTTTATTTATTTTTAATGCAACATTTGAAGTAATAGTTATCTGGGGAATCTTATTTCTGCCATGGGATTAAAAAAATATATACAATTGCAAATTTTTGCAATTTTGCATTTTTTTCTCTATTCTCAGTTTATATCGCACAATTCTTATTTTTCTTGCAGTTCTGAGAAAAAAAAATCAGAATTGAGATATAAACTCAGAATTCTGACTTTTTTCTAGCAATTCCGAGTTTATATCTCACAATTTTAATTTTTTTTTTCTCTGAATTCTAAGTTTGTATCTCACAATTCGGTTTCTTTTTTTCCCACCATGGAATAAAAAAAAATAAAACTACGACTTTAGTAACTGCGACTTTTTATCTCACAATTCCAACTTCTCTTCTCAGAAGTTAAAATCTTGCAATTCTGACTTTTTTTTCTTGAATTTATATCTTACAATTCTGAGCAATCTCTTCTTAGAATTGGGAATTTATATCTCGCAATTGCTGGTTATAAACTCACAAATCTATATCTCACAATTCTGAGTTTTGCAGAATTAAGAGAGAGTTTTGAGAATTGCAAGAAAAAAAAGCCAAAATTGTGAGATAAAAAGTCGCACGCACCTTTTTTTGTTTTTTAACCCGTGGTGGAAACAAGCTTCCAAAATGATCAAAGTTACTGATATTTATAACTAAATATATGTGACCCTGGAGCACAAAAGCAGTCTTAAGTCGCTGGGGTATATTTGTAGCAATAGCCAAAAATACATTGTATGGGTCAAAATTATAGATTTTTCTTTTATGCCAAAAATCATTAGGATATTAAGTAAAGATCATGTTCCATGAAGATATTTTGTAAATTTCCTACCGTAAATATATCAAAACTTAATTTTTGATTAGTAATATGCATTGCTAAGAACTTCATTTGGACAACTTTAAAGGAGATGTTCTCAATATTTAGATTTTTTTGCACCCTCAGATTCCAGATTTTCAAATAATTGTATCTCGGCCAAATATTGTCCTATCATAACAAACCATACATCAATGGAAAGCTTATTTATTCAGCTTTCAGTGAAGTATAAATCTCAATTTTGAAAAATTGACACTTAAGACTGGTTTTGTGGTCCAGGGTCACATATAATGTGATAAAATTAAATAATTTGTATCTGACCCATATATAAATTCCATGATAAAACATTTAGAGCAATTTAAGCTTTGTCATCTTCATTTGTGGCTTTTCTCAACAAATAATAATATATACGTTTAATCGTGATGAAATGCTCTCTCCTCTTCTCCAGGCTATCTACTATGAGCTGGGCTTCATAGTGCTGTCGGTTCTGGGGGTGATATTTGTGCTGTTCATGCCGGTCGTGGGCCTGTTTTTCTGTGTGTGCCGCTGCTGTGAGAACTGTGGGGGTGAGATGCATCAGAGACAGAAGAAGAACGGCGACTGCCTAAGAGGTTTCTACATGGCCACACTCATGGCTACCTCCGTCTTCCTCACGTGAGTGTTTGAGAACATTTATAACAGTCTATATACGTTCCACATGCTTGTAAAAGTGAGTCGTTATGCATGAAAGACTAATGAAAGTTACTCATTTCGAATTTGTTCAAATGAGATTAAATTGGCAAATATTTGGTAATTTTTTGGTTAAAAAGTACTTGCTTAAATTCAGCAATTTTTGTGCATCTGATATGCTTTAATTAATTATTATGCATGTATAGAATACTGAGTATTCATACATCTTAATCATTTGACTTGGCGTTTTGCATACTTTGTAGCAGAAAAGTACACATATTTGAACACAGGGTTAATCATATGGCATTTACAGCTCAGATGATTGGTTCAAACGAGCAAAGATGGCAGATTTCAAATTACGATTTCGCATATGGGGTCCTGCGCTACACAATAGCATTGCTATGGAAAGGAATGCTAACTGAAAGCCTTCTCCAGTTATTATAGACCTCCTTGGAAACTGTAGTGCAAGGTACTGTTCCCAGATTATATCACTCAATATTATATAATAAATATATTAAATATTATATACAAATATAACAATAATTTGAATAAATTATTTATTAAATTAAAATATTTACTATTATAATAAAAGTATTAATTAAATTACAACATAGTTAAATACACTACTTTCAAATTTTGGGGTCGGAAAGTCAAAGAAATTATTTCTATTACTCAGCAAGGATGCATTAAATTGATAAAAACTGTTCCCATAGTATCCCACTCATTCACTCAGAAATTAAAATAAATAAAAGTGGAGTCACCATTTTTATAT